TTTAGTTTTTTTAATGCTTTCTATTTATTTTTGAAGGAGAGAGAGAGACAGAGCATAGTGGGGGAAGGGCCGAGAGAGAGAGAGGGAGACACAGAATCAGAAGCAGGATCCAGGCTCTGAGCTGTCAGCACAGAGCCCTATGCGGAGCTTGAACTCATGGACCTTGAACTCAGACTGTGAGATCATGACCTGAGCCGAAGTCAGATGCTTAACCAAGTGAGCCACCAGGTGTCCCAAATATTTTTCTTTTCAAATTTTTATTTAAATTATAGTTAGTTAACATACAAGTGCACTATGGGTTTCAGGAGTAGAATTCAGTGATTCATCACTTACATACAACACCCAGGGCTTACCCCAACAAGCCCCCCCACTTAATGCCCATCACCCATGTAGCCTCCCCCCCACCTCCCTCCAGCAACTGTGCTTGTTCTCTCCATCCCTAAGAATCTCTCATGGTTTGTTTCCCTCTCTCTTTTCTTCTCCCCCCTCCCATATGTTAATCTGTTTTGTTTCTTAAATTCCACATGAGTGAAATCATATGGTATTTGTCTTTCTCTGACTTATTTCACTTAGCATGATGCACTGCAGCTCCATCCGTGTCCTTGCAATGTTTTAAATCATTTTTAAACAGTTAAAAAGTTAATGACTCCTTAGAAGATAATCATCATGTTGAAGAATCTTCCAGTTAAAGAAAGACCATTCTCTCCCCTGAGGTATTCACTTCTATAGATGGAATTTAACGCCTCTGAAATTAGCAAACATGCACACACACATACTTTTAAACTACTGTTTAATCATGTTTTAAAGACACACAAATTAGAAAAAAACATTTATACGTAAGTTAAAAACATCTGTAAAACCCAGCAATAAGCCAGCAGCATAGCGCTGAGGACACAGACTGGAAAGGAGGGGCCATGAAAGTATCATGTCGCAGTGTAACTGACACAGAGGAAGTTCAGGTTGAGAACCGTACAACGAGAACTAATTTAGGGACCTGTTGAAAAATAACCCTTCTTTAAAAAAATATTTTGGAAAAATAAAAACAAAAAAGCACAGAATGCCACATTCTAGTCTCACCCGGGGAAGGCAGACGAGCACTGCAAACACCGGCTGTTGGAGCTGGGCCCCCTCCTCACGTTTGGGCGACAATGTCCGACTACTCGTAGGCACGGGTCAAGACACAACTCTTAAAGGGAGGCAGGAATGAACTCATACGGGCTCCCTCTGCACGTACGAGGCTTTCTCTTCTTCCACCTGAATTATCTTTCCGGTCATTCCTACTGCTTTATGTGGTGCCCCTCTGGTTCGGAGAGATGGTCATGCGTAGGTGACAGCAAGTCAGGAGCAAGGGTACTTTGTTGACAAATCTGCATATACAGAAGCAGAAATACCTAAAATTGGGAAAGAGGCATATTTTGAAGTCCTGTCAAACTCTTCACGTGTCCTTTAGCGGCGAAGGACAAAAACGGGATATCACCAAATTAATCTCTTGGAGAAGTTACTCCAAATAGAGGCGGGTCAGGATACAGATAGTTAGGGCTCGAGTAAAAGGTAGCCAGTCACTCTTTCCACTTCAAACACGTTAGTTAAGAAAATGGTTATCATTCTGTTGATTCTGTTAATGTTGCTCTGTATCTTTTGGGTTTTCGTTTTATTTCCATTTCTTTTTGCAGCAGCAAAATCTGGTAAAACATGAGTGAAGAGATTGCTGTGCGTCACCTGGTAAGCTTTAGACAGTGATTTTGCGCGGATCTTTATATTCTCGTATCTAGAACATCTAGTCTTGGGGTCATTTTGTTTTGGTTTTGCTTTATGAAGAGGTTTTCTAAAAGAAGCCAGGTATAGTTAATTTTAAAGGCAAGACAAATTAGTCGGCATAAAAATGTGTCTTCAGGCTCCATTCCCGAAAATCTTCCCAATCGCTAACCCACAGAGCTTGTCAGTTGCTTACTGGGATTTCCATGTTAAAAATCTACTAAAATAAATATTATTTTAAAACATATAAAAACATTAATAAGCAGCCCACCGATTAAAATGTAACTGGCTGCATCTTTTATACAATGAGAGCCTCAAAAAGCAGCTTAGTCATTGATTGTAAGGGCATTCCTATAAAATACCAACATGGAAAGTTTCATTGTAAATTTTCTTCTGTAATGAGAGTTATTATAAATAGATGTAACTACATGGTGCTGCAGAAACACACTGGAGAGACCCTCTGCACTCAGATCTTTCAAAGCCAAATTTCAGGTGCAATTTAGCCAATCTTTTCCTTTAGCATGAGAAGCATGCACGGATACAAGCCCACTTTTACGAGGACAGCTGCGGAAAGAACTTTCTGCATCTAAGGTACTTGTATAAATGATCAGCCATTCATTAAAGGTACACTTGGTTCAGAGGAAGAGTTTAATAAGGTACTTGAGGGCAGTTGAGATTACATTTCACAGTGTTACATAGAATTCCGCACCTATGTTAAATCTGATGTACTCAATTTCAGCCAAGATCGGCTGCTAGTGGCTGAACGAAACTCCATCAAATGCCAGCTGAGATGTAAAACTCTGGACAAATCCTCCGTTCACAATACCAGGCACCATTCTGAAACAGCTGTTCTCTCAAGTAATTTTTTCTTTCAGTTTTAACAGAGAACCCTTAACACCCATTAACTAATGATTTTGAAGTTTGTAAGGAAACAAAAAAGTATAAGCGTCCAGAGTGGTTTGTGAATATACAACCTAAAATTTTACAAGGTATTAATTTTAAATAGGAAAGATTTTTTTTTTCCCTAAACGTAATCTAGTCCTTGACTAACAGTATAAGTTTTGTCATTATTTTAACGGCCAAGTTTTACCGTAATGTCTTCCGTAGTTTAAAAGATGTACCTAAATTAGGTGTGCTTTAACTCTCTTCGAATGAAATAATATTTGACAAGTTACAGAGTGGTAAACCCTGTCCAGGAAACTCAGTGGTTTGCACTAACATTTTCTAGGATAGATCACCTTCAATTTCACAGGAGCAAACAAGCAGAGAAAGCAAAAGGAAAATCTGTTTCTTTCAAGAGACTATTTCATGACCAAGGATTCATTTGAAGGGCTGTATTCAGTAGAAAGGGTATGCTGCCACGCCTTCTGGTTTAATGGATTGAAAGGTTTTCCTCAGTTGCCAAGAAAACCTTTGGAAAAGTCAGGGCTTTGAGCTCAAGTGATAAAAGTAGATGACCGTGACAATAGTTGAGGCTGTGAATCTGCCTTTGTCTGTGACTCTTACAGATCTTGCTAATGGCTTCCATTCATCACAAACACAGACTGGTCACAAACTTTTAGAACTGATCCTTTAATTTCTAATTAAGGAACTTTCATCAAGAGGACAGGCAACTCGCGCAAATCCTGAGGCTCCTTACGAACACAGCCAGAAGAACATCCCAATCTCCTCCAGGACAATCAGCGGTTCAATGTGTGTTACCTTCACTTTTTAGAACAAAGAACCATTCTTTGTAAGGCAGATCTTCCTGAAAACTGGTATCTGTGGAAATTCTCTATATGAATGTCACACACGGCAAGGGTCAGTAACAAATATCCTTCTTAACCAAAAGCGTGGTGGTGGCGTAAGTGGTGGCTGAACGTTGCTGAAGCCCAACAAACCTTCCTCCACTATGCTGGACGTGCAGAAGCTGCATACATTTCCCCAATTGCCCTGAGTTCCAATAAAAATGCTTATTTTTAAAACTGAGAATAAGCTCCTTGTCAAATGGTGATCGCAGACATACATCAAAATAACTGTTACTATTTCAGGAAAATGAAATTGAGGGAAGAATAGCATTTTTGTTCCCCTTTTTTTTTTTTCCCTGAGTAGTAAGATAATGACGTTCACCGATCAACTCTGGAGTAGTTTCATGACAACTGGAGAGTGGAGGAATAATACAAATACACACTGAATCTTATTGTGTGGATTCAAAAAGAAGCAAGCACACAGTACAATGAATCCCTTTACACTTAGCCATAGTACAGATATACCAGTTTTCACTTCTTCTACCATAAGTAGGAGTATTAATCCTTACAACACTCCAAGTAGCTATAGTCGTTTCACATGGCACAGAGTGTTTCTTCTTGAGAAGAAAAGTCAAGTTGAGAATTATATTTCTTTAGTTCTTCTAGATTACATACTTAGGATAATTGCTACAAAATTAGAGAAAAGCTCTCCTAAAACTATTTCATACAAAAAACCAAAAGCTAGCTGATCCAAAGGGATGAAGACCAGTCAAACTGTGGCGATAAGGGGTCGTCTTCCAAGTGACTGGAAAATTATTTAATCACCTTGTTTCCTGGGTGGCAACACTGTGAGTACATTCACTGAGCAAGAAACAGGTAATAGTGATTTTAGGTTTACAGGCTGAGAAAGGACATAGGTGATAAAAATAAATAGTTATTATTTCGTAATGGCATCTAGATGGGCTGAAAAAAAGCTTTATTAAGCTTTCTTCTTTTCACTTATGACATGCCTAGACTTGCCCTTTAAACTCTGAATTTGTTTACTTTTTAAAAATAGTGATCAGATTCTCTGCAGCATTAATTAGACCGAGGAGACCTTTGGGGGGCAGATATTTTCCATGATTATTCTTTTCCATCATCTCACATTACACAGCTAGCTTAACTTCAATGCATGGGAAAATAGAGAAAATTTATTTAGCTATCAGTCCTTCCCTGGTAAGTAACAGAGCATGGCTAACCTCAGGAGGTGGAAAAATTTTACCTTTAGAAAAATAACCACATTTTCTATAAACAAAGACCAAGATATTTCTAAAGTTCTAGAAAGATACACGGATATTTTTGCTGACTGAGACCTCCACAGTTCCAAGTACATTTGCTGTTCCTCTTTAAATGAAATACTACACAGCTCAAGCCACGGAGTTGTTCTGCTTTAACTTCATTTGCAGATTTACTAATGACAAAAATAAAAGACTCACCATTGTTAGACAATTTGTATTTCATTAAAAATATAAGGCAGAAAGGAAATATACTGTTTGAATAAAGGTGAAGTCAGAGGCTGTGCTCCACCCCCCACCCCATGATCCCATGATTCACTGTCTGTGGCCGAAGCCCTAGGGTGGCCTCACATCCCCAACTCCACTTTCAGCTCACCGCGCCCGTCACCAGACTGTGGGATTAAAGGAGACATCTAGTAACTCAGGGTGAGATTAATTATGGGGAAAATGGCCTAGAATATAAAAGCACACTTTTCTACTTACAGAATCTAAAACTTATTAAAAGGAGTTAAGAGCAATATTTTTTTAACGTAAGAATTTAAGAGTGTGGAAACTAACTTATTTAATTCTCTAAAAATGTAGGCCAGACCCGAGGACTCTAAGCTTTCATCTCCCAATATGAAGTAAGCTGTCAAGGATCAGAAAGTGATAGATGGACAGTAACCCTACTCAGCGATTTCTCTTCCGTGACCCTCACACAATCCACCACTATTATTTTCATCATCCCTCTAAACTCTATATAATTTATGCTCGAGAAATTTCATTTAGAAGTCTACCATATTAAAAAGTTATGACACTTTGATGTCTTACATAATCGCAACGAGCTCAGATAAGTAACGGTGAGAAACTCATCTGTGGGCACGCGGCACCCTCACCGGGCGCACGTGCCTCGTCCCAGCAGGCTCTGCGCCAGGCCTGGTGGGGCTTCCCTCACTCACGCCTTCCTTCGTCATCTTCTCTCGCCTTGTTTTCTGTGTGTGTGTGTGTTTAAGAAAATATGCTTAAAATATCCCATTACCAACCTTTAATTATGTTGAAGAAATTCTTCCTTGACGGGCTCTGACTGACACAAAGTAAGTAAATTCTCCAGGAGAATATGCTACCTATAATTTGGCATCCGGTCCTGTGTGCGGTTTCACTTCGTACTGCAGTCGTTTGAGATACTTTAAGAAAACCCTTCCAATACTGAGATGTTTATTGCATTTTTAAAGTATCCACATCTTCCATATCCTGTTGCAAAATTCCCCCAGAATTCCTTTACAGCACATAACATCAAATATTGAAATGGCGTTCTCACAATATTACACTCGAAAATACCATTTGGGAACAATATTTCAGGAAATAGAGGGTTTAAGGCAAGACATTCATTGGGAAAAGTTAATTTCTCTCCGTCACCCAGATTAACACAATGACCTGCCCACCTCTCCGGTGCCTGGGGATGCGCAACATACATTCAGCAACGGGGCACACACATGGCCGTGTGGACGTATGCCGAGGTCCTGAGAGCCCATTGAAATAATGGAAATATTTTTATATAAGGCGTGGCCCACAGGGACATGGCCTGGGAGGGGTCATTCACTCCATTTCCAATCCGCTATACAGGACACTCCCCACCTAGATCTGTCTGATTTCCCCCCACTTAATCTCTTTTCAAACAAACACGAATCCCTTGAAAAGGTGCTAAGAGTGGTTTTTGTTAACATAGAAAAAATAGCCGTCGGCAGGTTCTCCCCTTCACTGTTTTAATGATGAATGTCTAGAGGCTATTTCTTGATTCTGATTGCAAACATTGTTTGTTGTGGAAAAGCTATTCTGTCCCAAGGCATTTTCTCTTTCATCAGACTTTTTGGATCGCGCCAGCTGAGCATTTTCCTGTGTATTCTTTCCTCTTTGAGTTTTTTTCACCGGCAGCAACAATAATACTAAGATACCAGCAATGTGCAGGCAGTAATACCAGGAGCTAGAAGAGAAAGGACAGAGTTCGCTTTATTAAATTTTGATCACTGACCCTCAGCAACTGCACACTCGCCAAAATGTCCTCTGCCCCACGTAGGATGTGTGCATTCACTACATGGCTCGTGCATGCCTGTCCCGCCCCGGGCCTGCGCCATGAGGTGACGCTCTAAGGCATATGCTGATGGGTATTCAGAAGGCGGCATACGAGCCCAGACCACTCACATTACATTCCTTTCTAAGGGTCATAAGTCCGTGGCTACACAGAACAAAACTAAAAAGGTACTTATTAGCTGCAGTGACCTGAGAATAATCTCGCAAATCCACAGAATCGAATACTGAGTGAGCAGAGAGAAGGCAGAGATAATGAAGACCTTAATGCTCTGGCCTCCTCTGCTGATGACCATCCCGGATGAAGTGCCAAGTACTCCAGAGATGCTTGTATAATAGATAATACTACCTCTTGGTGGCCACTGTCATATCTAACAAAGGAAAGTCACATTATTAAGAATATTATTAGAGGCATCACTCCTGAAATTAAGTATAAATCAAATGTGACTGAGGCCGCTTTTATAGCTGAAGTTCAAGTGATCATGAACAGAGAACCTGGGATAGAAAATCTAACAGCTCAATCACATTGAAGAACGAGTAATCATTTTGTGAAAAGGGGAAATTTTAGTGGAGTTCCTTAATGTCTTTCTGTGTCGCCATATTCCATTCAACAATTTGTGACCACGCACTTTGTGCTGTTTCTAAACAGTGGGGTGACGAGGACTTTATGAAACACAATGTGTCTGATCTCAAGGATCTCGCTACCACGGCGAGACGGAATTTGGTGGGTGAGGGAGAGAATAAAGTGATAAAACCTGGAATTTACGACAAGAATTTCTATAATACAAAGACAAAGCACCCATGAAACAAAGAGTAAGAAGGGAACGATTTCATGAAATACAAGTAATTTATTTCCTTTTGACTAAGGCAATGAAAAGAATGAACAATCCCTTGGAAGGAACAAGCTACATTTTAAAACTGCTCTGTCATATTTTCCATTGTTCATCTTGTGTCAAGTTCTCCCATCCTCTCCTTTTTGGAGTTAACCGTCTGACGGCCCCAACTCTCGGGGCACAGACTCGACCAATACTTACTCATGATTACCAGAAGATCTATTTTGCGTTCACTCCCAGAATATCCCGAGAGACACATAGCCTTGGCTTTAACTTATAAGCTCCTACGCCTTGAGCCCAGAGCAGGGGTGAGCAACTCTAGCCCATGGGCCACATCCAGCCGGATGTTGCTTCTTTTAGTTACTCAAGTACAACTGACCCAGAGCGTTATATTAGCCTCAGGTGTACGACATAACGATTCGATATACATGCACATTGTGAAACAATTCCCACGGGAAGTCCAGATACTACCCAAGGGTAAAAAGAACAGCTACGCTTTCTAGTTAAACCTCTGGGAGATCTAAGGCAGTGGCTGTCCAGCTGATACTTCTCTAAGTCATATTCGTCTGAGGGTTAAGTGGTGTGAATCATTCCATAAAAACCTTGGGGCTGCTTGGTTTAAGATGAAAAAGGTAACCACAGAAAGTCAGGCTACAGCATGATTTTTTTACGCCACCCAATAGCAAAGAGCTTGCTCTTAAAAAGAAAGGTATTCCCACTGGTGTGACACTTACCTGTAAAACATGAATGATGGTTTTACAGATAGAAGTACAAATGGCACAACTGTGTAACTTATTGCTATTTGAGTCACTATCCACGTTATAACATCATACAATAATTTAAGCTGGGGAGGTTTGATGAAATAATGTCTAAAGTTATTTCTCATCTGAAATAAAGAAACAAAAATATTTGCTTTATCTTCAGCGTTGCTTAGAAAATTACACTGACTACATCCACTGCTTCAAGAACGTGGACTGGCTGACATTCTCGCGTGTCGCTGCTGGGAGTCTAAGACGGTGCTGTCATTACGGGACAAGTTGGTTCGGCAAAAACGAATACATGTATCTACGAAAACATGGAGAGAACACAGTGTGGGAACGGGGGTCAGAGGCACAGAGGGGCTCTTTGCCACTCTTCCGTACAGCTGTGGTTGTATTAACACTAAAAATTTCCCCCAAAGTTGAAAGTAACACTGCCTAGAGCTCTTTAAGTCATATTTGGTAAATAGTATATACGTAAAGTTCGGTCTGTCTTCAGTGTTTTCTACTACGACGAAATGAGACATCCTTCCTCTTCCTGAAGCCCTGGGTCTGTGAAACACAGTGGAGATCGACCACTGAGCTCAGGCCAGACATGCTTAGAATAAATGGCAATGACACACATTCCCTAAAGAGCTGTTTCCTAATAATCACCATTTACACTTTTTTTTAGCTTCCAGAAGAGTCAAAACATTTCAGTTTTGAAGTATGCACACTTAAGCAAACATTAGTTCTTCTTTTCTATCATCGTGTTCCCTGCTTTTCTTGTCTAGTATGTTCAGAGGTGAAACACGGCCCTGCCAGGATACCACCGAGTTTCTCAGAAGCCACCTGGCGTGTGGTTGGTGGCTCTCCCCACAGGGAGGCCGTGGTTCGTAGTGGCCAGAACGAATCCCAACACCTTCCACGTGGTGCCTGGCTCCCCGCTGCAGCAGCACCCCCCCACCCGCCCCCCCGCCGTCTCCCCTTCCATCACCAGCAGCAAATCAATTCTCCTGCAGCACGGCCTCCCACATGTCATGCGCCCCCTGGAAGACCTTCCCCGACTCCCGGGGCTGCAGACGGAATGAGGGCTGGGCCCCTCCCACTCTGTTCAGGTTCTTCCACTGCTGCCCTCCTCCCTCTGCCCCTGCACGCCCTTTCCCTTCCGGAACTATCCACTATCTAGGTATGCGTGAAGTCTGTGCTTCAACCAGATTTGCCTTTCATCTCCAAACACACTGGGCACTTCCAAATGTGGTTTTGCTAACGTCATTTCCACGCCTACAATGTCATGTTCACCCCACCACACTTCACTCACTTTTAACATAACCTTCACCTTGCAAAGCCCTAATACAACCACACTTCCCTAACGAGGCCACCGCAGGTCAACCCAGCCAAAGGGATTTCTTTCACCTCTAAACAACTGTGTTCCTTACTACCCGTGATGCCCAGGGACCCATCACATGTGCCTCGTGCTGCACATGCACACATATGTATGTACGTACACCGTAGGCCCTGTTAGACCACGAACGACTAGAAGGTAGAGGCCTTAGTTAACACCTCTCTCAGGTGTCCCTCGTATGCCCCTCCCCGCACGGCACCTGAAAACCGACCAAATCTCTGCTGCTTTGTTACGTGAAGCCTCCTCCCCTGTGGAACAAGCACTGTTCTGGTCACGTCACTTTCGAGGACTCACACTGAACTGTCCTCCTTCTTTGCCCACCCATGTCGCCAACCCGATTTCTCAACTGCATCCCAAAATATGACTCCAGGTTCCAGTCAAGCCCACGCTCTGAAGAACTGTGTCCCGCCTCTCACGCTAGCACCCGCCACCCCAGGATGGCTCACCCGCCCTGTCACCCTCTTCACGCCCACCCCCCACCTAAAGGAAGGCTCATTGGTGAGAGCTTTCAGGGAACCTTCGTGCAATAAACCCGTCTTTATTTAACTTGGGTTTTAACTCTTGTTCAGAAAACCATGTGAAGACAACAAACACTTTGAGGGCTCCCTACCCCGACGTGCAAGTCTCCTCCTCGGGTACAGAGCCCGCAGGAGCGCTCAGCAAACACGCCAGGCGCCCTCCTTGCTTCTAGCCAGAGCTCCGCGCCCACACTAATGAGGCCTTGGGGAGAGGGTGTCCCCGGCCTCCTCCCCCCACTCACATGCCCCCCACTCCCAAGTATGACGTGGAGTCCTAGATACTCACGGCTCGCGCTGCCAGGGTCATCACCACTCCCGTGAGAAATGTCAGGTAATATCCTGGGTACACCCCGTGCCAGATGGCGGACAGAACGAACGTCTGGATAGTCGGACTCACAGTGGCCCGTTCGTAACACACCCTGGAAATGGCGAACACAGCAGCGAGCCAAGACGGGTGAGTGGTTAGGGTTTTCACAGCCCACAGCGACCGTACTTTCCTTACCCAATGGGACTCAGGGCAAGCAGGCAAACAAGCACAACTCAACATCGGCAACAACTTGACCTGGGACCTCAGGGAGGTGAAGGCTATTAAATATGCCTAGTGATCTAGGAACATAAATTTGATCTTCATCTTTTTATGGTACATGTAATAGCTACAATGAACTCTGGTGCCTAAAAATCTATACTGTTTAGCAAAAAATTCAATATTAAACATTTTATTTTACACTATTTCGTGATTTCCTTTACCAGCTTTTATTTAATTAAGGACTTTCAGCTGACCCAATAACACTTCTTTCTGACAAGTCTGGTTGTGCATAGTCTAAAATTTCCCTGTAACAGGTAGAGAACTCAGATGAAAATAAGATTTTCTAAAGGTGTCAAAATTTTTTATGCTTTTCTTTTTTTTAAGTAATCTCTACTCCCGACGTGGGCCTTGAACTCATGACACGAGATCAGGAGTCATATGCTCTACTGACTGAGCTGGCCAGGTGCCCCCAAAAGTTATCAATTTTTAAAATACAACAACAGGGGCACATGGGGGGCTCCGTCGGTTAAACGTCCAACTTCAGCTCAGGTTATGATCTCACAGTTCGTGAGTTCGAGCCCCGCATGGGGCTCTGTGCTGACAGCTCAGAGCCTAGAGCCTGTTTCAGATTCTGTGTCTCCCTCTCTCTCTGCCTCTCCCCTACTTACACTGTCTCTCTCTCTCAAAAATAAATAAACACTTTAAAAAATAATAAAATAAAATACAACAGCATCAATAAAAAATGCATAATAAATTAGCTCAGAAAGCAGGCAGCCACTGGGGAGACTGCAAAGCACCACAGAGTGACAATGTCGTACAGTGGGCGCCTCAAGGCAGGAAGATATGCAACTTGCCTAAAATAAAGGACACTCCCAAAACCGGCTGCTTTTACCCAGAACGGTGCTCAGAGCCACGCTGTCACAGGGGTGACGCTTCATAAACTCGAGACGCAGCAACGCATCCCACTGTGAACAGGGCGACACAGGGGCTGCGAGTTTCTGTGCCACCTCCCAACTTTGACAAACGTCGCTCCACGTGGGCTGCCCATGGCTCCCCCCAACCACATGACAGATTCCTCCTCACGGATCCTGGCGCCGGCACGCCCCCCCACGCCCCTGGTCCCCTCACGGCCCCCGGTCTGCCTCTCCACTCTCCCCACTACAGGGAGCCCCATGCGTAGGTGACGCTGCCGTGTCGGTAACGAGGCCGTGCGCTCCTGGACCACAGACGCTGTGTCTTTCTGTCTCTCTCATCTCTGTATCCTGTGCCTGACACACTGGAAGTCTGTCGAACTGAAATCCTCTTGCCACTGGCACTGTTCTGGACAATCTAGTGGCTGTGTGGTTGGTTACTCTGTCTTATTTACCCAAAGCTCCAGTGAGCAGAGCAGGAGGGCACTGGCGACCCGGACAGGTGCCTGGGAAGGCGGCCGAGCGGCCCCTGACAGAAGCATTCACCGCTGAGGCCACAAACGCTCTCAGATCTGGTAGACTCTTGCTTTGGACGCTGTTAACAGTGTCTCCTGGTTAACACCAAGGTCCGTGTCACTCAACACACCATTATTTAACCAAGAATCTGAACTCAGTGAAGCTCAACCTCAAGTATCAGATGCCACAGCACAGCTAAAGACTGTTCTGGAAGGAACATACCTTTTGAGCCAAAGAGCTGTCTGAATATTCCAATTATCCAGAAACATCTTGAAACTTGTTGACATCTGAAAAACAAAAGAACCTTTTTCTTTGGCCAACAAAATAATGAAGCTTTAAATATGAGCAATAACATTTTATTGTGCTGAAAGTAAATTATTCGACACTGACGGCCGTGTGCTGATTTCTTTCCTTAATATTGCTTTTCCAATACAGTAACATGCTTGTATAAATGAAATGTGCTCCTCAGAGAGGCCGACTACGAGAGAAGTGGATTATCCCCATTTCCTCCTATGTGGTAACATTTACCGGGGTTGTCATGGAATTATCCCCAAGACATTCCTGATACGTAAATGGCCGTTCCGTGATGCATTCCTTGGACCGTTCCGTGATCCTTCTGTGATGCATTCACCAGGGACTGGACGTCCCATCAAGCCACAGCCCCTCCATCCCTTCACCTCCACGCCTCCTCAGCCACCATCTACGTCTGCTCGGAACCTTGGCCTCCCCCGGAACTCCCATCTTCCCACGTTCCCAGCCTCCCCGCTTGAGCCTCTCCCAATCAGAGCTTTCCCCTGACCTCAGAAGGACCCTCTGATCTCCCACCTCTACTTCTTCCCTAAGTAACGGTCTCCTCCTTGAGTCTCCGCTTCCTTCTCACCATTTCTACTGGTCCATTATTTACTACTCTCATCAGAATCCTTGATCCATCTGTTACTTCTTCCTTCTAATTCATCCACTTATCAAAATCCGAATCCCAGATCAACCACACTTTCCATCTTCTCTACTCGTAACCCATGAAGCCAAGTGCAGAATATCACATGACACTCGAGATTTCTGTCCTAAATCCATATTTTTTTTTTAATTTGAGAGAGAGCGCCCACATGCATGTGTACACAAGCCTGCATGTGAGTGGGGAAAGGGGAGACAGAGAGAAAACCCTAAGCAGCCTCCACACCCAGCATGGAGCCTGACGCAGGGCTTGATTCCATGAACCGTAAGATCATGACCTGAGCTGAAACCAAAAGTCAAGTCACTTAACTGACTGAGCCACGCAGGAGCCCCTGAATCTCTCTGTTTTAATGCAAAATTAAACAAAACTCTCTCCTTCAATCACCCGTTCCCCTCAGCTATGGCCTTAGCTCCACTCTCCTTCCCTGTACAGGTAATAAACGCCTAAGAGTTGTATCATCTGGCTTTTGTAGCTATTCCCTCCCGCAAAAGTTACCAAAATATTCTCTCAACTCCCACGTTGTTATAGCTGATGGGGCTTCAGAGTCCCACTCTACTACCCACATCTCAGCGGTCTGCGGCACTGATCGCCCTCCCTCCTTCCGAGAAACTAGCTCCTTCTTGCTTACGTTTTCTTTAAAAATTTTTTTGAATGTTTATTTTTGAGAGGGAGAGAGAGAGAGAGAGAGAGAGAGCGAGCACACAGGCAAGGGAGGGGCAGAGCAAGGGAGAGAGAGGATCTGAGGCAGGCTTGACACCGACAGCCCAGAGTGGGGCTTGAACTCAGGAACCGCAAGATCACGACCTGAGCCGAAGTCAGATGCTTAACAGACTGAGCCACCCAGGCGCCCCTTCTTTACTTTTTCTTATACCATGCATTCTCACCAAGACCGAAATTGCCCCCAAGAAGATGAAAACTGGTTCTCGGGGGCAAAAAAGGCTTACTTGTTTTATGTCTAAGAGCGTATGTGTACATATAGTAGTTCAACAGATACACAGTATACATAGCATTAAAGTTCAGGGGGGGTTGATTAGGAAAAACACGTCTCAAAATCTCCTTAGGGTGCAAATAATGAACAGAAAGTTAGAAACACGGCCATACACTCATTGCTCAATTTCCACAATTATGGTTGTCCTTTCCCCTTCCCCATTTTTATTTCTGACATCGTTAGGAAAATTTCAAAGCAAGTGCCAGACATCTTATTTCACCTGTAAATAGTTCAGAATTTATTGGATTTTTGAAAAAACCAAGATCAGCCCTAACAAAACTACATATTACTCCTTAATATCATCCAATACTCATTTTGTGTTCAAATAGCCCAACTGGGCTGTTTTCCAGCTGGTCTGTTCCATCAGGGAGCAGACAAGGCGCAGCCGGCGTGCCAGGCTCCAGTCTCTTCGAATCTGTAACAGCGCCTCCCTGCCCCCACTGCTCTGCTGTCATTTATTTGTGGGGAAAATAAACCCTACATTTGTCTTGTAGGGTTTCCCACTTCTGGATCTGGTATTTAAATTATTTCTCTAAACTGTACACTCCCTCTAAATTTAGAAAGACCCAGCGACCCGACCAGGTTTAACGGTCTTGACAGAGGACTGAGAGACGGTGCTGTGTCTCCTACGCCATCACCTCCACAGGCGCTTAGTGACCGACGTCCCACCTTCAGTGACACTGAGGCTCAGCGGTGGGTCCAGCCTGACCCTTGACCCGTTCGTTACCAAGTTGTCTGTCACCCTTCCCCCTAGGTTTTCCTAACTTCTACCGCTGGAATAATTCTCTCAGGCTTGCAAAGCAATGTCCGCTCTTGGTTTTCCTCCCCTTTCTCTGGCTCCACCTCCTGACCTGCCTTCCTCCACCCTGCCACCCCGCCTATAGGCTCAGGCCCTCCTTGGGGGTTCGCACCCCTTCTCGGTCTCTCGCTGCTCTCTCATGGCCACTTTCTCCAAACCTGCAATGCTACACGCACCTGGTTCCCCGTTAGGATCTCCCAGCTCAGATGCTGTGGCTCGGGTCTCATCATTTATCTGTCGGCCGGACAACTCAGTTAAGTCTGAAATCTGAGCACACAGTATCTTTCCCTTCAGACCTGTGGCTGTTCTTGGCTCCTTCTCCCAGGGAAAGGCACTGCCTTAAAACTGGTTTAGGCCAGATATCTGGTCCCAGTTTATAACTCATTCTCCCCTGCTGATGCCAACATATCCCTGAGTTCTGCTGACTCTCTGGAACAGCCTTCCAAGGTGTGTGTTTGTTTAATTTTTTTTAACGTTTATTTATTTTTGAGACAGAGACAGAGCATGAGGAGGGGAGGGGCAGAGAGAGAGGGAGACACAGAATCCAAAACAGGCTCCAGGCTCTGAGCTGTCAGCAGAGCCTGACATGGGGCTTGAACTCACAGACCGGGAGATCATGACCTGAGCCAAAGTCAGACGCTTCACCGACTGAGCCACCAGGTGCCCCAAAGGTGTTTAGGTCTCTCCAGCCGCACTGTCCCTACTCTGGTTGAGGCCAGCATCACTCCGGATGAACACAACACCCTCCGAACAGACCATTCTGTCCCACAAGGGCAACGCATTGTGCCCAATGTGGCCAGACCCTTCTAAAGCGCGGCTGTGATCACTTCACCTGCTTGCACAAAAGCCAACCACCATACTCCACTGCTCCTGTAAGAGCTCCACACTCTTAATAATGGCCTCTGAAACTGTCCCAGCCTGACCTCCTTCTCAGCTACTCTTCCTTCTACTTGGGCATACCCGGCAGCCTCCTCCTTTTCATTTAGGACTCAGCTTAAGACAGTCTTTCCTTCAGGAACCCCTCCCTCCCCGAGCTACCTCATCTGAATTGGCTCTTATCTTGTAGCCCACACACACCTTATATCCCTCTGACCACCACCCACCCTTCTGTAGCACCCTTAGATTAAAACCCCAGGATCACAGGGCCCAGATCACACCAATCTTACCTGCTAGATCCCCAGTGGCTGGGGCACATGACTGACAACCAACAAACATTGGCTGAATGGAAAAATAAGTATTATTATTAAAGAGCCTTCAACACCACTCTTGGGACATCACATCATGACCTATAAAAGCAAAGTGTGGTATGTAAAGTATCGTATGGTAACTAATCTGTTAATGGTTTACTAACCTCTATTTGCTGAATTCTCAAATTGGAGATTAAGTCCCAACGAGCTGTTCCATTTTCATCATATCCTCTGAAACCAAAGCCTGCGGCATTATTAATAGCATCCGCTGCAATAAACAAAGTGAAAAAGAAAGTATGAAAAACCTATGTAACAATCTACCATGTTCTCTCAGAAGGTATATGTTATCATAAACTAGTATCTTTTATTCTTAAAGAGTAGAAGTAGATTTATTCTCATTTTTATCTGATATGATAATACACTGGGCCTTGATCCCGTTTTTAGGCTATCCTAACAGTTTGTATTTAGGATACGAGCTGTAAGGTTTCCTTCGACTAGAGGACTAAATTTTCTCCCTGGTCTTTAACTTTATATCCTCAAGAGGGCACTCTGCCGGCTGGCTACAGGGTAAGACGCACGTCAGCACATGAACAGTGAGGTCTCCCTGCATGTCACTTACCTAATGTCCAGGCGAAATAGTACTTGGGTCTGGCAGCCAAAAGAGATATGTAAAGATAGATGACTTTTGTTGGCCATGAAGCTGTAGCTTGAAAATTCTCATCGATGTTATACTCCACAGGTAAGGTGTTAGAGATGGTCAAGTGAAACAGTAAGGAAAGTCCGCAGACTAAGAGCTTCTGAGTAACGGCCACCTGGCAGGACCAGACCAGACTTCATAAACTTAATCCGTAACCCTTTTCGTCTGCTCTACCCACCACTGCCGGACTGGTCTTCCCTGAGGCAACATTAACTCTAGAACTCTCCCAGTGAAAAATCATCAGCTACGCTGTGCTTGGCATTTGACATCTTCACGGACTCCCAGTAGGAACATGTCCAGCCTTCTCTCTAACTAACACCTCCAGACTATGGCTCAAATCACACTGGAAACATCAATTTGTATTTTCAAAGCTTTCGGTTAAAAAAAAAAAATCTGAAAGCAAACACAGGAGCATAGGTGTGAGCACACAAAAATATTCTCATTAAAAACTTTTGGAGGTGGATTCTATATTTTATACATACACACACAGCTTACTACTCCATTGTGCTTTTCCGTCTACCTCCCAAATGCTATGCATTTCATGGACATTATTTTTACAATAAACAACTCATGCATCTCTCTTTTTTTTTTAATTTTTTAACGTTTATTTATCATTGAGAGACAGGGAGAGCAGAACATGATCATGGGAGGGGCAGAGAGAAAGGCGGAGACAGAGACTCCGAAGCAGGTTCCAGGCTCTGAGCTGTCAGCACAGAGTCCGACGTGGGGCTTGAACTCACAAACCGGGAGACCGTGACCTGAGCTGAAGCCGGATGTTCAACTGACTGAGCACTCAGGCACATGCATCTCTTTAAATCTGAAAGTTCTTGGAGGTAATTTTGTTCACAGACAATAAAAGCAAAAGAACCACACACCCAAGAAAACAGAAAAGATCCGCATAGAAGACTCTAATGGGGAAAGAAGAAGCCATTCTTTACTAGATGCCAGGAAGGTGAAATCACCGTGAAAGAACCCAGCTCGTGGTGTCTGTGGTTACTGGCAGGCCGGAACACTTCAATCCGCCTTGTATAGGGAGGTGACGGCCCCTGCCGAGGGGGGGAAGCCGGAGGCGGGAAGGAAGGGCTGTATCCAGGTCACCGGAGGTACCGACATACTTGCACTTTGAGTGTCCTGCGCAGTAACCGAGTAATACTCAAACGAACTAGCCTGCAAACGAACATCCCTATGTGAGCGCGGTCTGGCAGAGCGCCAGAAGAAAGGGCTCAGAGGCAAGAGCCAGAGCACACGCCGGACTCCCTGCACTGCTGAAAAAGCATCACCGGTTCTCGGGCGGCCTTGGGAGGAGGTACTGAGCGTCCAAGGACGCCTCGCGGTAGCTCTTACCCTCCTTTTCCTCCAGGTCTTTGAAAGCTTTCTCTAGGACGCAAAGCTTTCCGTCTCTCTACCTGGTCCTCCCCTCTCCCCAAAATATCTAACCTATACGTCTGAGAAGAGATTTAAAACAGGTAATTAGAGAGAAATTATAATTACAAACGAGGTGAGATGAAACAAATGGCCTGACACGTTAACCTAAAAAGTGGCTGCGTCATCTCAGGGACACAGTGAGAAAGGCTGTGGCCTTCAGACTACATACACCTTCCAGGTCTCAGCGGAAAAACAAAAATTCAAGCAGCGTACATCTGATCGCAACCAGGGGCTGGCACACTCGCCAAGGAGAATCCCCCGGACGGCTGAGGCAAAGCGAGATGAGGGGGCCCGGGGGGCGGGGCGGGGGCCGGGGGCCCGGAGTCCCCCTGCTCAATAAGGTGACCCCTTCCAGCAGGGGGCCGACACCGGCTCCCAGAGAAGCTGAAGCGGACAGGGTCAGGCTTCGGGGCACAGGTCAGGGTGGGCGTCGGGGTAAGTGGCGGGCTGGACATGGGGAGACCACGGAGAGCGCGTCCTGAAGCCCTCGGCCCCCCTGCCCGGGCGGCTCAGCTCCACAAACCAGCGTCAGGTCTGTATCTACCTCGCGAGGCAGCAGAAGGCTGGCGGGGCCCGCGCTGAGAAACAAGCCGCCTCACAGAGAGCCCTAGAGGCCAGGCGGGGGCGGACGGGCGCTCCCCGGGGCCGCCCTCCCCTTCGCACACGTTTACCGGGCGCGCTGCAGTCTCGCTACAGGCCGCCCCTCACGGCCCGCCTCGCAGCTGAGGGGAGCCACGGGGTCCACGTGCCGTGAGCACAAGTAACGTGGACAGCCCCCGGGCCGGCCTGAACCGCGCACACGAGGGCGGCACCCTGAGGGTGGCAGAGCCGGGGGGGAGCTTGGATTCCCCCCCCCGCGGGGCCGCCACGTTATCCACAGACTCCCGACACCAGATGCCCTGTGAGAGAAAGAGGAACTTCTACCTTTTTAAGCTGCTGTTGTTTTGGGCCCTGTTCTAGCACCCGCTCCTGTATCTTGTCTACATAAAGACGGTTGGGAGGTCCCAGCAACAGGGCCACTGGCTACCTGACCGCCCTACTTGGGATCCTAAGAGTCTACACACACCACTGATGCATAAAGAGCTTGCGAACGCCTTTGAGTGATCTGTAAATAACTACCACTTCCAACTGTAAGTTTTATACACATGCCATTTCAATTAAAAATATATTAAGGCAGGGGCGCCTGGGTGGCTTAGTCGGTTAAGCGTCCGACTTTCGCTTAGGTCATGATCTCGCAGTTCGTGGGCTCGAGCCCCGCGTCAGGCTCTGTGCTGACTGCCAGCTCAGAGCCTGGAGCCCGTTTCAGAGTCTGTGTCTCCCTCTCTCTCTGACCCTCTGCTGCTCACGCTGTCTCTCTCTCTCTCTCTCCTAGAAATAAATAAAAATTAAAAAAAAATTAAAAAAATATATATGTATTAAGGCAGTGACATAATACATGAAGAGCATATGCCATTGCCCACGACCTCCGATTTGATATCTATAACCCAAAAGAGGTAAGTGACATTTTGTAAGAGTGAATCCCATAAAAACTCAGAGTAGGGTGACAGAAGTGATACATAAATTTGTATTGTTCTTTGTTGGTTTTGATTTACCACTACTCACATGTCTGAAGCACTTGAAAATTTTCTAATATTTTATAAAATTATGTCCAGCTGTCTTGATTACTAGCTTTTAACATTCTTTCTACAACTCCAGGATAAAGTTCGGGGACATCAGAGCTATCTATAACGGTCCGTACTTTCTCCTATGGCAACGAGACTGCGGAGTGGCCAAGTGGGCAGCCTAGAAACACCACCGAGTCAACGGAAGAGAGCTGAGTCTGCTCAACTTTAATTCTGAAGTTCAGTCCCATCTGATACATTTATCAGTCAATATTTAACCAGTAGTAGAAAGTAGGAAGACAAAAGCACCTTTTTGGTATAAAACACGATGAGTCACATGACAGAAAAGAGATAAAATAAGAGCTTTTGTGAATGGGTGCACATTTCCTCATTCACGCTTCATTCTACAGAAACTTAGAAAGGAGAGTGATGCTTTGCTCCAAGCCCCACATTCAGAAAAAATCATACTGGCTCCCATTTTTGTCTCACAGGATTTTTGACTGGACTATTTCTCATGGGACTTTTAGACTCTACCAGATCAAGGGCGCCTGGGTGGCTCCACTGGTTAAGCGTCTAACTCTGGCTCAGGTCATGATCTCACAGTTCGTGGGTTCGGGCCCTGCGTCATACTCTGTGCTGACAGCTCAGAGCCTGGAGCCTGCTTTGCATTCTGTGTCTCCCTCTCTCTCTGCTCCTCCCTGGTTTGTGCTCTCTGTTCTCAAAATAAATAAATAATAAACAAATAAACAAACATAAATAAATAAATGTTAAAAAAATTAAAGAAAAAAAAAAGATTCTACCGGATCAAATCCAGAAATTCAGCCACACAAAGCCTCAGAGCCTTTCTTGATAAAGGAGCATCCATCCCAGAAGCTCAGAGGAAATAAAGCTTGGGCGGTGCTGTGAGTCAATTTCGCACGGACTTGGTAGTCGGACTGCCTGGGTGTGAACTCCAGCTCTCCTACAGCCAGCGGGGAGTCCTGGTCAGATTGCGTGGGCCTGGTTTCCTCACCCTGTCAGTGGTGAGGGCAGTGGCACGTACCTTGTGCTGTGAGGCCTGAGACAGTAACTGTGAAGCATCCTCGGCAGGGCCTGGTGCATGGGAAATGCTATCAAAGTGTTAGCTACTGTTAACTTTCTTTTTTAAAGTTTCTTTATCTATTTGGCGAAAGAGAGGGACAGAGGGAGGGGGAGAGAGAGAACAGAGAGCCTGACTCGGGGCTCGAACTCATGAGGCGTGAGATCATGATCTGAGCTAAAATCAAGAGTCAGAGGTATAGCCGACTGAACCACCCAGGCGCCCCATTATTAACTTTTTTATTGTGCGGATCAGGAAACGTTTTATGGAAAAGGTGGTATTTGACATAGGCTTTTAAAGAGAAGTATGTTTTCAAGTAGCGATGATCAGGAAGAGGGGAGGGAAGCAGGGGAGGAAGAGGACACCGAGTGAGCTGGAACAAAGCATGCAGGGAAGGGAAAGGCCTGGGTCAGTGCCAGGCAGACGGCTCTGCTGTAAAACATTCCCTAAGCTATAAAGCATCCTTCCCACCAAGGAACTCAGCATGGCTTCTGACCCTCAATCTTGTCCTCTATCATGACTACTAGACATCATTACTGGGCACAGTGTGAAGGGTCATTTACCTTAAAAAAATGTCTTTAAAAAACAGATGGGTAAGTTCCAAACCTGAAAACGTTAGTTATCTGTACACAAACACTACTACTCGATATGTGCTACCAAGGCTCCAGATAAACCTCAGGACCTTACATTTGGAGACGGCTCTGCTCTCTCATACTGCACTTCTTTTCCGTTTTCGCCTGACTGTGCCAGGTGGTGGGATCTGCCTTCGATGAAAGTGATGTAGTCTTTGTAGGAGCAGAGTGGGCCCGCCAGGATGCCCATGAAGTTGCAGTTGTAGCTTAAGTACTCCAGGAGGCTCGGCATGCGTCTGCAAGGAAAGGCACGCGGCTCGTGAGGTGGGACGGGAGCTTTCAGAAAATCTGACAGGAACCATCGCCCTCTTCCGTGCTGCCCTCACCCCTTCCAAAATAAAACAAGCTTTAATTTTCAAATGCATTCCCACAAGGAGACTTTTTTTAATGTTTATTTATTTTTGAGAGAGAGAAAGAGAGAGTGAGCAGAGGGAGAGGCAGAGAGAGAGAGAGAGAGGGGAACAGAGGATCCCAAGTGGGTCCCGTGCTGACAGCAGACAGCCCAAGGCGGGGCTCAAACTCATGAACCGGGAGATCATGACCTGAGCCAAAGTTGACTGACAGAGCCCCCCAGGAGCCCCCAAACAATGAGAATTGAAAAGATCAGGACGCAGTGATGCTCAATGGTATTTCTGGATAAGGGAGTCACTACAACCAGTCTCTACTTAACTCCTTCGTTACAAAACAAACCCAAGACGGACAAGACATGGCGTAAGACATCGTCCCTTGCCAGCTGCCAGCCACACACCAGACCATTCACACACTGACCCTGTGCCCACACGCTCCAGGCTCTAGAGCTACTGCGGTGAGCAAAACAGAGAAACATTCCGCGTTCACCCAGCAGACGCAAAACACAGATAATTTAAAAATAGGTATAAAATATTTTCAGAGATGCTAAGTACTGCAAAGAGAAAGGGTTCTTCTATTATTATTACTATTACTATTACGTAAACAAGTCAAAGAAGGCCTGTCTCACCAGACAACATGTGCGCAGAGGCCGGGAGGAAGTGAGACAGGGAGTCGCGTGAGCCTCTGGGACAAGGATTCCGGGCAGAGGGAACAAGGCGCGCTGAGCCCCTGAGAGGGGGGCGCACCCACAGCGGGGAGGCTGGTGTTGCTGGAAAGGGCAGAGCCAGGGAGAGAGACGGGAGAGAGGCCCGAGAGGCCCGAGGTGGGTCACATAGGGCCTGCCTGATAAGGCGTGGTAGGAACTCTCCGACTTTATTCTGAATGTGATGAAAAACTACAAGGAAGTTTTTAAAAGCCCTATGCTTCCAAAGAACCCCTATAGCCCCTGAGGGTGGGCGGGACAGGGGTGGAGGCCAGAAGACCAGCGACAGAGGCTGGGAGGCAGCATCTCCGTATATTTATGGCAGGACAGCCTCAGGGTTTGCTGATACACTGGAAGCGGGCGCGAGAAAGGAATGAGGGATGCCTTGCCACGTTTCTCCTTCAAGTGCTCTGAGGTCTGTCCAAACGGCACATGGCATCTAAAGTTTACAGAGCATTCTAGTTCTTACTGCAGATAACCAGGTAAAAAATATATGCACTATCATACAGGTGACTCAGCAATCTACATTTTATTGCTTTTGTTTTTTTTTTAAGGTTATTTATTTTGAGAGAAAAAGACAGCACGTGCACACACGTAGGGGAGAGGGAGGGAATTCCAAGCAGTTTCTGAGCCGTCAGCGCAGAGCCTGACGCAGGGCTCGAACTTACGAACCATGAGATCGTGACCTGAGCCAAAACCAAGAGTCGGAGACTCAACCTACTGAGCCACCCAGACATCTCCCTATTGACTTTCTAAAAGCAGCTCCATTTATCAAGTCTGCCGTCCACTGACAATCATAAACTATCATAAATAAAAGAACAGCTGGGGCACGTGGGTAGCTCAGTCACTTAAGCGTCCAACTCTTGATTTCAGCTCAGGTCATGACCTCATGGTTCGTGAGCTCAAGTCCCACATTGGGCTCTGTGCTGGCAGTGCTGAGCCTCCTTGGGATTCTCTCTCTCTGCCTTTCTCCTGATTATGCTTGTTCTTTCTCTCAAAATAAACTGTAAAAAAAAAAAAAAAAGAGATTTTAAAAGAAGAGCTACACCTGGGGACTGGAAGCAGGTTTCTGGAAGACGTTACCATCCTTCCTTCCTCTCTAATGTGAGAAGTGGTTTCCTTAAAAAGCACAAACACTCCTTGTGGCCAAGAGAAGTCGATGGAACCTCTCTCATATGTGTCTTTATAAAAGACAATAAAAAAGAAAACTGTGCTTCCCGCCCATCCGACACTAGCTAGAACACCACGGAGCCAAACTCTCTTTTAGATTTTTCCAGAATTATTTTTCTACACTTAAAATGGTTTTGAGCTTTATGTGTTTTCTGTTGAAGGCTCAAAATTGAAAAGAGAAACATGTTGCTGGCAGATTTCCTCTCGCATCTTTCCTGTGATGCGGAAACAATGCGTTCTCACTGCCTCAAACAAGGGTGCGCGCACTGCGGTCATAAAGTGGTGGACTTCCTGGGCTCCTACAACACGGCTCCATTTCTACACTGAGTGTTTCAAGCCCCAAAACAATATCATGTTATCAAGACACAACTCAGTCCTCCCAAGTCAAACTATGTATCACAACTGGCAAGGACAGGAGATAATCATGCCTGGCTTAATCGTCATAAAAATATGACAAGTCATTTTACGTCCTAAGTAGAGAGTTATAATATTTGCTCTTTCATATGAGAAACAGAACTGTACTACTTCCTTTATGACATGAAATGACGGAATCACATTTCATTCCACAGGGATTTATTTGGGGTCAACCCCAGGTGTCTGAGGTTCGAGCTTCGCAGCCCCAGCGTGACAGCCTTTCCTGGACAGTAGCTCTGTGTGGCAGGGGCTGCCCAGCGCACTGGAGGGTGTTTAGCGGCACCCTGGCCTCCACCTGCCACATGTCAGCAGCATCACCCCTGGGACAACGAAAACTGTCTCCAGACCCTGTCCGATCTCCCCAGGCGGGGCACAGAAGCACCGCCAGTGGTGAGCTGCCATCCAGGCAATGAGATATAATGATAAATGAGCCCAAGTTCTGTCTGCATAGAGCTTTTTCGTTAAGGGGGTAGAAAGAGAAAAGAATCTGTAACAAGAAAAAAAATCTATAACATCAGACAGTGATCTATATTGTGAAGAAAAACAAAGGAGGGCCAAGGGACAGAGAGTGACGGCAGGGACTGGGGGGGGGGGGTTCTCACAAGGAGCTGTGTGCAGAGCTCCTGGCGCCTGACTGTGTTAGCCTCCCCCAGTTAACTCCATGGGAGCCGCTGTGGGGGCTCCTCAGAAGAGGGGATAATTTAACCCAACACACGTTACAAAGACGGCTGGCTGCTGAGTGCAAAGCAGACTGTGGAGGGAAAAGAGAGAGAACTGAGCCCCGCTGGGGAGGCTGCTCCAGTAGCCCGAGGAGAGAGCGAGGTCGGGCTGGGGCGATCTCAGGGGGGCTGGTGAGAAGCCAGTCTGACCGGGGACGGTCAGATGTCATGGTCAGAAGAGAAACAGGTCTCCGAGACAGAGTGAGCTTGCCGGTGCAGTGGATCCGCAGCGAGACGCCGGCTCTGCCTGAGGTCTGCCGTCGGCACCAGTGATTTGGTCCTGCCGCTACCTGACGGCGAGCGGGCTGGGGAGAGGGACGGGGGGCGGAAATCGGGAATTCCGTTTGGACGCGTCCTATCTGAGACGCCTGCTCAGACCCGTGCCAGGAGGCTGAAACGGCAGACGGCGTGAGGCTGGAGCTCAGGGGGAGGCGCCGCCGTGGGAAGGCCGTTACGAGACTTCAAACGGGCGGCACGTGGCCCCCAGAGACGCTGGAGACGCCCCAGGATGGGCCTCGGAGCCCACGAGCCTTCCGTGGTGAGCCTCAGAGGCGGACTCGGCCAAGACGACAGAAGGAAACAGCCAGAGAGGCGGGAGAACACAGGAGGGAGGCCCCTGGGAGGAATGTAGTTCAAGGACTGACGGACGGGCTGGGTCGGATGGCGCTGGCAGGCTGACAGTTACATCCGGCGAGGTTCAGGCCACCTGGAAAAACGCCATCAGCCCAGTGGTGGGGACACGCCTGAGTGTGCTGGGCCGAGGAGAGCACGCGGGGCGGGGAAGGGGAGGCGGCGTGACAACTCTCTCACAGAGGCTTGCTCTACAAGGCCGCAGAGTCGCGCGGCGGCAGCTCGAAGGGAGAGTGCGGTGACGCTGCTTCTGCTCTCAGCCGGTGGGAGAAGACAGGGAGAGACGATGAGTGACCGCGCACGGGCCGGGGTGAGAAACATAATCCCGGAGTCAAAGAGGAGAAGGGAGAAGTTGACCTTGGAATGGATTATGGGCAGCGCTGGGAAGGGACAGAAAGTGGAGCATTCTGTTACACACACGGGTGGTTTGGCAGCTTTAGTGGTTGCAGAATGAAGTGACTGCTACCGCCGTGACCTGGGCGAAGGGCGCGGGCGTCTGAGGAAGGAGAGCGCACAGGCTCGCGGGAGCGGCCGGGAGACACACCCCCGCCACGGGCCGCGCTCAGGTGCTGATGTTAAACGTGGGGCCACACGCTCCACACAAGTCCAGTCACCAAGGATGAATGCTTTCCCCCTCTGCTCTCTTCCACTGTCTGGGCAGGCAGAGAGTCAAATTTAATAGGGTTTGGGGGTTTGCTAGGGAGGTGTGTGGGAGGGCAAGGCGGAAATGGGAGCTGAGAGGTCGTCGGAATGGGCCAAGGGCTCCTAACGATCACAGAGCCCAGATCCAAGTGACCGCTCAGCAACTGTCTATCAAGTGCATGTTTACTGATACGTAAATACTGACTACTGAGATATCAAAATAGAATCATTTTAAAGATGGGGAAAATTTAAGAAGATTCCCAAGACGAGCTGCCAAGAGTGAACCCTCAGGGTAGGGTCTATCCACCATCACAAACTCAACCTCACTCTTGGGACAGCCAGGCATCTGGTAGTCCTCCATCTACAGAAAGCAAGGGGCTTCCTAGGAATTTTTTCTTTAGGTAAAATGAGGATTCTATCTCTAATTATAGTAAGATAGACCCTTTCCAAGAAATTAAGCTATTCCTTAGTCAACAGAGTACTATAAAAAATGAAATAGAAACCTACCCAGAATGAATTCCGCAAATAATATTGAGAATATTTTACTGGTTCTTCGTTATTTCAAAACATGGCGTCTGTGTGCTATAGCAACATATCTTTTTTTTTTTTTTTTATAACAACATATCTTAACCCTGCACCTGCTACTGAGTTATTGGCCTATAAATGGAAGTGGCGATCATCACTCATTACTCTGTGGCAGACACGAAGACTGTATGATCTTCCTGTCTGCAGGCAACTCAGAAAGCCATAGGACAGAAAATCTGGTGACACCTTCATGGTACACAGGAGGCACATACTACATGATGATATATCTCAGGTGCTATGGGAGCCTGAGAAGGGACACGTAGCCTAACTTAGCAAGACTTGGTGGCAGGGAGGTGTGCGGAGGGAGGAAGGTTTGATTTTCACAAAGTCAGTACCTCTAGGAGACGAGTCAGTCTGAGCCACGAGAGTCAAGTATATTCCAGGTAGAGACAGTGTGAACCAGGGCAGGACACCATTAGAGGGCACGTACCTTACAGCTAGACCCCTCTGTGATGACGTCAGTTCTTCATCCTTTCGAAACATCCCTGAGAAATAAAAACAGGTACTTTTGTCAATTATGATTTTCCCTAAGAATGGCACTCCCCCCCCATTCACACTTCTACCATTTTCTCAGTGGAAATTCATGCTATCATCCAATTTGGGTATAATTGGTTCCTTTCTTTCTCACTGTCACATTGGTTCAATCACATCAAAGGACCACCATGTAAGCTGACTCGTCTAGTCTGTATAAAATAAATACCAAGCATCAGGGCACAAATCTCACTCTTCTCTAGAGTAATTATTATTAACTTACCAATTTCAGGGGTGGTATATGTAAGTGCTGAATCGCTGGATTCTACTCCTCAAGGTAAGTCAAGTCTACACTGTATGTTAACTAACTGGAGAATAAAAAAAAATTCCAAAATGCTAGCGTATTTTATAATGAACACTATGACTTTCAAAGGGGGGCATTAAGGGGCACCTAGGTGGCTCAGTCAGTTAAGCGTCCGACTTCAGCTCAGGTCATGATCTTACAATGTGTGGGTTCAAGCCCCACGTCAGGCTCTGTGCTGACAGCTCGGAGCCTGGAGCCTGCTTCTGATTCTACGTCTGTCTCTTTCTCAACTCTGCTTATGCTTTCTGTCTCTCTCTCAAAAATAAATAAATAAACATTAACAAAAAGGGGGGGGCATTCCAATGTTTCTATTATTAGATGATTTAAAAGATTAACATCAGTATTACAAATGAGCAGCTCAACATAAAGCAAGGAATGATTTCCTTCCCTCTCTATGACTCTAACGAATGAAACCATACGCATATACCATCTGTATCCATTTTTTACCTTCTCTCCCCAAAGAGGAGGCTATGACTTATGATTACACATCAACTTAATGGACTCTAAGCCCGATTTAAAGACCAAAGGAGAAATAAATTAAGATGCAAATAATATACTTAAAAAATATCTGTAGGTCTTTTTTTTTTTTTTAATGTTTTATTTATTTCTAGGAGAGAGAGAGAGAGAGAGACAGCGTGAGCAGGGGAGGGTCAGAGAGAGAGTGAGTCACAGACTGAAACAGGCTCCAGGCTCTGAGCTGGCAGTCAGCCCAGAGCCCGACGCGGGGCCCGAACCCACGGACAGCGAGATCATGACCTAAGCGAAAGTCAGACGCTTAACCGACTAAGCCACCCAGGCGCCCCTATCTGTAGGTCTTCCTTAGCAGATGGTACAGGATGGGTAATCCAGGCAGTGGAGCTAAAACCCCACGTAACAAGCTCTGCGGGCCACTATGAATGACCAGTCTGGCTGGGGATGCCCCTCCAGTGCGTGAGGAAACCAAAGTCTAACGCATGACTCACAGCCCAGAGTGTGAGCATTTCCTACGGCAAGGTGTCCATTCACTGAAGGCAGAAAATATGGATACATACATATTTCTGCTAAAAACAGATGTAATTGTGAATGTGTGTATTATGCATATAAGAGATCAGGGACGAGGGGAAAAGCATCCAAATACTAATAAAAATGTAACAGAGATGAAGCAGGGACTGACAAAACTTGATTTAGACCAAATATCTATTTCTTTTATACTGTATGTTGCCACTGATGCTGGTCGTAAGAGGGGACCCCACTCTTACTGTTTTTGTCACTAAATCAAATGTGGAATTAAGATAAAAAAACTGCAAAAAAATAAAATAAATAAATAAACACACTTTAATGAACCTACGCAGAGCTGAATACTCCTCTCTCTTACCTCCTCTAACACAGAAAGTTAGGGTCTTATCTCAGGTGAAGGTATATTTGATTAGGATTTCTTTCGGTGATGAAAAATTAAATTTCTAAATTCTTACCATCATGAATTTCGTAAGCCAAACTAGTGATCTTCTGGGTAATTATCATCATTGGGCTGTAAGAGAATAAAAAATAAGTATTTAAAAGCAGGAACTTAAAATATATACTAATATATATATAAATTATATAAAGCATATAAATTAGTATTAGTATTAGTATATAAAATATATACTAATGATATATGCAAAAACAGTTTATTCTGCTTATACAATGCAAAATCCTGACACTTTTTAACAACAACAACAAAAAGACCCTCAGGGATTTACCAGAGAGAATCCGGGGCTGCTGTGTTTGGGGAAGGCAGAGGGCTAAAGGAGCTAGGGCTTCTCTCTTGCTTTAAAGGCAGGCAGGCAGGGAGGGAGGGAGGCAGGCAGGGAGGGAGGGAAGAAAAGGGAAAGAGGCAGGCAAAGAGAGAGAAAGACAGAGAGAGAAAAGAAAGGAGAAAGGGAGGAAGGAAGGAAGGGAGAGAGGAAGGGAGGAAGGAAGAGAGGGAGGGAGGGAGGAAGGAAGAGAGGGAAGAAAAGGGAAAGAGGCAGGCAGAGAGAGAGAAAGAGAGAGAAAAGAAAGGAGAAAGGGAGGAAGGAAGAAAGGGAGGGAGGGAGGGAGGAAGGAAGAGAGGCAGGGAGGGAGGGAGGGAAGAAAAGAGAAAAACACATGCTCATCGCCAGGAGACCCTGCCTGAGCAGGGGTGAGGAGGGGTGAGCAGCTCCACTCGCCTCCTCCCTCCCGCACCAGGCCGAGGGGCAGAGGGAGGAGCGCGCACGCAGCCGTCAGGCGTGGCCCTGGCTTCCCCGATCTTGACTTTTCAACATACCATGCTGCTGCTTCTGCCTCGGCTGACTTAAAGTGACTTAAAGGTGAAATAGGTGGAAAATTAAAGGCTGGGTGAGAAACGCAGAACAAAACGGGAGAGACGGGGGGGGGGGAGGAAGAAGCAGGACAAGGCCCCCCCACCGGCCTCGGGCCCAGGAGAGCCGCCCCAGACACAGCGCCTGATGCGCACCTTATAGACGGCGTTAAGTCATATTACAACTTAGAAGATGGCAATAGTTTCCTCCCTATTTTGTAATCTCTAGTTGAATGGATAACTTGGAAAGGAAGAACAAATAAATCCACGTTAAGAAAACCACCGGGATCCATCTTTACCGTTTATCACATTCGGTTACCGATACTCGTATCAAAGAACAGTTCATCACAAGGTATTTATTTAGATTTTTGGAATTCCACTAAAGCCAGGACACTGCGTCCTGCCGAGACGCAGAGGGTGAGCTCGGGCTCCGAGTAGGTGCGGCCAAGGCAAGGCCTTCGGGAAGGTCAGCCCCGTAGCCCACACGCCGCAGGAGGCGGCTCGACTCGGCTGCGGGGACACAGTGCCTTCCCCCCTGTCCCCATGTCTCGGAGCAGGAGAGCGGGCAGTGTGGACTCTACCCATGGCCAAACGAGGGCGTCCTTCAACACAGAAAGAAAGGAGGCTGCCGGGAGGGGTGAGGAGATGCAGGGTCAGGCCCTGAGCACTCACAGCGCGTGCTCCTCACTGAACAGCAAGGTTCAGAAAGGAAAGGAAAGGAAAGCCGGTCATGTGGCAGGTGCTCCCAAACTCCAAGTGCAGGAGGGAGGAGATTCCCTCCAAAGGCCGCTCTTCTGTGTGGCCACTCACTCTCCAGAAATGACCCCTCAGCCAACCTCTCCCCTGGGGCAGCTCTGAACACCCAGCTGCCCATTTAGCTTTCGGGATGTTTTACGTGCCTCTAAGGATTGCAAAAATAATGATTTCACTTCCTTGGGGGGAAAAGAATCATTTTTCTCACCCTGTCTGAGTTCTCTTCGTAGTTCAGCTCACCGAAGAATTAAACAAGACTCTTCAGTTCTAAATGCTAATTCCCATGTCACCTCCAGTCATAATGAAAACAACTGATAAAATGATTATTTATCAACTCAGTGATGGGGGGGGGGTGCCTGGATGGTTCAGCTGGCTAAGCATCTGACTCTTGAACTCAGCTCAGGTCTCGATCTCAGGGTCGTGAGTTCAAGCCCCACGTTGGGCTCCATGCTGGGTGTGAAGCTTACTTAAAAAAAAAAAAATCAACTCACTGACAATCTGTTAGGTACGTATATGTAAGATATTTTGAAAATGTACAAGCGTGCTCTGTGAGCACATGCCTACCTTGTGCCCCGGGCCACCAGGCATCCCTGTAAATGCCATCCGCTGTGCAGGCTGCAGGATGGCCCATGCACAGGAGCCAGGCCAGGAGATCGGGCGGCTGGGCCCGAGAATCCTGTCCCTCACAGAGACGGAAAGAGGGCGGGGAGCAGACGTGAATGCTCCAGAATCTTTCCACATGATGCTCCCTCCACTTAGACTGCTCTTCCTGGAACTGGCTTTGCAAGGACAGCTGAGGGGTCACTTAGCCCAAGAGGCCCGGGGACAGCTCCGCCTCGGGCGCCTCTGCCACAATGCCCACACTCGCCCTTCACTTAATCTCCGCTTCTTGTTTTCCTGCTTTGAAACACGTTCACGTTCGTGGCTGTCTCATTGTTTTAAACTCTGTCTTTCCTCTCTGGAAAGTCCACGAGGTGAGGAACCAACAGTCTTTTTCACCACGGAACACACAGTGGCTTGCACATGATGTGTGCTAAGTAAATGTTTTAAAAACACCAAATTGGGGCGCCTGGGTGGCTCAGTCGGTTAAGCATCCGACTTCGGCTCAGGTCATGATCTCACGGTTCGTGGGTTCAAGCCCCACGTCGGGCTCTATGCTGACAGCTCAGAGCCTAGAGCCTGTTTCAGATTCTGTATCTCCCTCTCTCTCTGACTCTCCCCTGCTCACACTCTCTCTCTCTCAGAAATAAATAAAAAATAAAACATATAAACATAAATAAATAAATAAAACATAAAAAAATAAAAAATAAATAAAAACACCAAATAAATGGACTCCTCTAAGCGTCCGGTCAAGATCTCTCACTCCTTCTACAGGTTGATCGGCCTCCCTCCCGCCTGTCCATTCTCATCTGTGCTTGAAAGCTTTTACCATACTGTTTTGTCATATTTCGTTTGCTTTCCTGTCACCACAAAAACCCCAGGCTACTGAACACCAGCAACGCTGCCGTATTTATCCCGGCACCTCTGGCACTAGACTACACACGGGCTCAAAGGACTGACTGGTTTGCAAAAACATCTCAACCTTTTTGTTCCCTTTATTGGTGATCGTTAGCCCTGAATATTCCCTTTGGTTTTAAATCGGTGGCAGTTCCAGTGCCTCTGGTCCAACCTGTCATGGGATGGGGTCAGGGGTGGTGAATGTGAAAGTAAAATGCTAGAAGGCAGAATTACCACAGAGAGACTCAAAGGAGTTAGGTTATAAATGAAAGTAAGCCAGTAGCACAGTGAAAGTTTGGCAAAGCATGAATAGAGCACTGAGAGCGGAGAAAAGTGAACCAGAGGGGGAAATGGACAGACGAGGCCAGCACAGGCCACGTGCCCCATTGGAGGCCGACCAGAGCGGGACCAACCTCACCTCGTTACAGCAGAAGCCAGTGTGCGGAGGAAACACCTGTGCACTGTCCTCACAGCGCACCTGCAGTGGGTCTGCTGCAGAGCGCGCTCTGTTCACAAACAGCTGTTTCACTCACTCACCCGTTATTTCACTTACACCTTTACCGACATTTTAACCAACTTGTTGACTTCGCATCTACTAGAGTCTCCAAAAGCTAATCACTTCCAGGGTTATAGAAATTCTGAGATCACCTGATGAGAATCAGAAAGACCCTCTGAGGGGTGCCTGGGGGGCTCAGGTCACGATCTCATGGTTCGTGGGTTCGAGAACCACATCGGGCTCTGCTGACAGCTCGGAGCCTGGAGCCTGCTTCGGATTCTATCTCTCCCTTTCTATCCCTCCCCCGCTTGTACTCTGTCTCTCAAAAATAATAAACGTTAAAAAATTTTTTAAAATATATAAAAAGATTTCAAAAAAGACCCTCTGGCTCCCCTGTGGCAGTCAGGGATGGAGGAGGGCGGGGGTGTATGGCCTCAGGATCTCCAACTGGTGAGCTCAGGGCCGCGGACAGAGGTACCTGTACCTTCTACGTGACGACATCACTGTATTTAGGTGAAACTACACATATTTACTCCCCCTGCCACTCTGCTAGGAATGCGCAGGAATATGGAATATAACTTTTCAGAGTAAATACTTCCAACTGACGAGGCACTTTCAGGTAATATTAAAAAAAAAAGCCTATCTGCTATAAAGAACTAAAAATTCTACAGGTCTTGAAATTTAAAAAACCAAAAGGATACAAAAATTTAAAAGACATTTACATACACGTTTCTTGTCTCTACAGATAACAACAGGATTTAGTTCTATCAGACAGTACAATTCAACTGTAGTTCAGCATTATTAGAAACTGATGCTGAAAAGAACAATGCTTCCTTAATTGTGCATTATCTCCAGGAGACACTATCTCTAGCGCCATCTGCATACTCGGATGTGACCAAGCAACAGCAAGCACCTGTCAGGTCAAAGGTCAGTTTGCGCTGGGAGCAAATCAGCTGACAGCAGGGCCCACCAGTCACCTCCCCAGGGTAGTCATCTCTTCCCTCCACAAACAGCAAAACCCACTGAGGCCACAATGAACCCCACGTACCGAATGCCAAAGAACATGCAGTGAGTCGTAATGGAGAAGGCCATGGGCTCTGAGCCACGTTCATTCACTCACTTTACTCCCTCATTCAGAAACAGGTATTTAACAAGCACCTGTAAGACACCAGCTGCTGGAGACCCAACCGTGCACAAGGTGAAGTTCTCGGTGCCGCAGACGTCACCGTGTATCGGACAGAGAGAGATACTGAAGGAATCAACAGGTGAACGCATCGTTGCCAAGTGCTGAGCGCAGGTGCCGAGCGGGGCGCAGGGAGGAGGCAGGGCCAGGACTCGGGGAGACCTGGCTTACTCTCAAGGTGACATTTCCAGTGAGAACAAGGCAGAGAGCAGCCTGCAGAGGTCAGAATGTTCAGGAAGGAGGAAAGCAGTTCATCAGCCGTCAGGGAGAAGCGTGGCT